CTCAAAAGCAAGCGGCAAAAGTGGGAGGAGCTATGTGATTCGGTCAAGAAAGACGTATGGGGAATGCCGTACAAGATGATACGCGAGAAGCTCAGCAAGGGAAGGCTTAAGATCCCCAGGGGAAAGATGGACAGAGCAATACAGGAACTCTTCCCGAAGGGAGTTCTTCTAGAAAAAATCGAATAGCGGACTGACGCGACTCAAATCCCGAAAACGTCGGCACAAGAAGTAAGAGCTGCCGCCGAGAGGCTCGCAAATGGCAAGGCACCTGGCACAGATGGGGTCCCGCCGGAGGCATTCGAATTACTCATGAAAAGATGGCCCAGAGTCTTTGCGAGCATGGTAGATCACATTCTGGCGGAGGGAGTTTTCCCGGAAAGATGGAAAACGGCCAAGCTGACGCTCATACCGAAACCGGGCAAAAAGGATGCTTCCAGACCGATATGCTTATTAGACACGGTTGCGAAAGCCGTCGAAACGATTCTAAACCGGAGAGTACAGGAGGAACTAGAAGAAAAGGGGGCCATTCCGACAGCCAGGATCGCTTTCGACCGAGGAGGTCCACAGTCACAGCCTTGGAGAACGTAGACGACGCTGTGGTCACGGAGCTACGGAAACCGCCGCGGAGGAGATCGAGTACGCTCATTGTGCTGCTCGATGTTAAAAACGCCTTCGACTCGGTGAGATGGAATATTATCATGAGAGCTCTGCAAGAGAAGGGTTTCTCGGGATATCATCAAAGAGTTCTATCATCGTACCTCGAAGACAGACGAATCACGGACGAAGACGGCAGAACACACAGGATGACCGCCGGAGTCCCGCAGGGCTCCGTGCTAGGACCAACTTTGCGGAACGTTGCATACGACGGTGTTCTGCGGCTACCTTTACCGGAGGGAGCTCGCAGCATCGCATACGCAGACGATCTCGCCCTCCTAGTCACGGCGGAGAATTTGATGGAACTCGAAGAGATCGCACAGGAAGCACTCGACAGGATAGCAAGATGGATGAAAGAAAATCAGCTGGAACTAGCCCCCCGAAAATGCGAGGCACTTGCGCTCCTCAAACGGAGGACCGATGGCAACCCGAATATCTGGCTAGAGGGCGAAAGAATCCAGGTGAAGAACCACTTGAAATACCTGGGGGTCATACTAGAAGAAAAGCTCTCCGGGAAGACGCATCTCAAAGAGACGCTGGCGGAAGCAACCCAAGCAGCGATGATCCTGGCCACGATCCTACCACGGACGTATGGAGCAAGCGAAATACAAAGAAGAATGCTGGCCTCCGTAGCCGAATCAATAGTCATGTATGCAGCGCCGATCTGGGCACCCAGAGCTCTAGAGTCCCAGAAACATAGAGACCTACTGGAGAAGACTCAAAGCGTAATGGCCATAAGAACCGCGAGGGCATACCGGACGATCTCAACGGACGCCGTCCTAGTCCTGGCAAGGGCGACCCCCTGGAGCCATCTGGCAAGCGAAAGAATAAAGCTCTACGAAGCAAAGAAAATAGAGAATCGAGAATATGACGAAGGGGAAGAAGAATCAGAACGTACGACCGAAGAAGACATCAAGCACTGCACGCTTCAAGCATGCGAGGAAAGATGGGACAGCTCCTCATGCGGGCGCTGGACCCACAGCTGCATACCACGAATCAGCAGATGGCTCGAGCGGAATTTCGGTGAGCTCACCTACTTCACCACGCAGATCTTCTCCGGACATGGAAATTTCGGGAAATATCTTGCCGCAAAGAAGCTCACACCATCGGAACACTGCATCTGGTGCAATTCAGGAAAGATAGACGATGTACACCACACGGTCCTCGAGTGTCCGGAATTTTCGCAGCAAAGGCAGGGGATCTCGGCACAAACAGTGCCCGAGATCCTCGACCAAATGCTCTCGAGCGAGGAAACATGGACACGCTACACAAGGATTCTAGAGAACATCATGAAGAAGAAAGAGAAGAGGTACAGAAGAATGTGAGAGTAGGAAAATCAGCGGAGAGCACGGAGGAAATCACCCGGGATGGCGGCCTCGTCCCTCTCCCAGTTCCCGGCTCCCCGGCTATCATGTGGTCATACTCGTGATGATATGCCACTTCCTTAGTGAAGAAATTAAAAAAAAATCAATCAATCAATCAATCAATCAATCAATCAAAGAGAGCACAATGTCATCATCCAAATAAAGTAGCGTGTTCAATGAGGGAAGGAATTGGGTGAGATATGGCTATCATGTGGTCATACTCGTAATGATATGCCACTTCCTTGATGAAGGAATTAAGAAAAAATCAATCAATCAATCAATCAATCAATCAATCAATCAATCAATCAATCAATCAATCAATCAATCAATCAATCAATCAATCAATCAATCAATCAATCAAAGAGAACACAATGTCATCATTCAAATAAAATAGCGTGTTCAATGAGGGAAGGAATTGGGTCAGATATGGCGGTGAGAGTCCTCACTTTTCTCCAAGCGAAGCCACAAGCCTGATGCGGGAGCAACTTCTTCGAATGGTTGACAACCTCGCCATCGATCTCGCACTGAATTATCTTCTCCACCTTGGGATGCTTCGCCGTGTCACGGTCCACCCCCACATCCGATAATTGACACTTTCCGTGGGCTCTCGTGCGAGTTGAGCGGCAAAAAAGTGATCATCTCTTGATAGGCGAATTTATCCAGTTCGATATATTGGATCGCGTTGTCAAGACAGAGAACCCTTCCGAACTTCTCCGATCGAAGCAACAACATTCTCTGGAAATCGCTCTCGCCTTGATGCAGGACTTCATCAACCTTAAGTGAGATGCTTGGCTGATGGTTCCCGTCTCGGTGAAATGACCTGTGGAAGTTATGCAGTCGCGGATTAAAGTTCTGACAACGGAGCGAATCCCGACGGCGAGGAGATGCCTCCGACACGCCAATCCTCGAGACAGGCAATGCGCAATCCATATTTGGCGAACGGTCATGTAGTTCGCGCACTCAAACCGCGCTCAGATGACGAGCGCCCAGGGATCACGTCGGAATCTTCGATGCAGGAATAATTCAAAACGTAACACCACTCGACTGGGGAAGCCCTGATGACTCTCCATGTTTTTCATCCGATACGTGTTCTCAACGCGTTGCGCAGTGCAGAAGCTTCCTGCGAACTTTGTTCTTGAGAATCACTCTAAACCAGCACTCAAGCATCCGCAAGAGCATATCATGAGCATCAAGCTATCAGAGGGAGGGCTCGCTTCATGACGCCTGACGGAGATCTCGGAATCTGTATTTCGCGCTGGGTACTATGCAGCCTTGATCATTGTGATATACATACGTATAATGCTTTTCGCAGCAAGATAGGCGGTCAGCAGACTCCTTCCCTACTTTCCTTTCGATCATTGTTCAGAATAGTCCACCACAGCATGTTGGTTTTGGATGAGATATCCGACCTGCGTTCGACAGGTCTGCAAGCGGATCTCACGGCGAACTACAGTAAGACCTCGCTTATCGCGGTCAATCGGTTCCGGAGGCTTCCGCGATAAGTGGGAATCCGCGAAGAAGGATTCGGTAATCCTGGGGTGTGGTATTCCGACTTGGAGCTCCCACGCTCTCAGCTAATAGAGGACAATTATTGTCCAAAGAGTTATCCTTCACTTCATGAATAACCAGTCTCTGAGGTAAGCTAATATGTCACGATGCACAATTCCTGTGACTGTACGCTTCAGAGACTACATATAAATTCGGGCTCCTTCTATCAGTCCAACTCTATGATTCCCGCCAGCTGAAGACGTCCGCACGCACCGAGTTTTGAGATACCGTCTCTACTTTCAGAGCTCGCATCAATCTCTCGGGAACCTCTCCGTGCATCCTAACGACTACGCCAGGCATTGCTCGCAGTATGCGCAGCGATTCTTCGTTTTCCATAATTTCATGCTCGGGGGCAGAAGAAACGCGATGTAGCGAGGTCGCGATAAGCGAGGTACTGCGAGTTCTCAATGCCTTGAGACAAAAGGATTCCCCGTAGAATCTAGTTTTCGTGTGGAAGTTTCTCGAGTCAATCATTATCATCTCGAGCCGCAAGTCTCCGTCCATAGTGTCCGCTCACCCTCTGTGAATGATCACATCGATCCGAATTCGGCAGCGTATCAGTATTACGAGCATCACTAACCTTGTCTGAAGAAATTAAGTCCGTAGGAAGACCTGTCCCGTTTTCCCGCTGCCCCGTTTTCCCGCTGCCCCGTTTTCCCGCTGTCCCGTTTTCCCGCTGTCCCGATTTCCAGCTGTCCTGTTCTCCCGCCGTCCTGTTTTCCCGCTGTTCTGTTCTCCCGCTTTCCTGTTCTCCCGCTGTCCTGTTCTCTCGCTGTCTCGTTTTCTCGCTGTCCCGTTTCCCCGCTGTCCCGTTTTCCCGCTGTCCCGTTTTCCCGCTGTCTCGTTTTTCCGCTATCCCGTTTCCCCGCCGTCCCGCTCTTCTTTCGACTCGGTGGAGCGGTTCCGATGCAGCCTCGCGAGCTTCATCAATCCGATTGGGGGCACCATGAAATGAGCTTGGAGGCTCTAATTCCGCCCACCGAGAGAAAAGTGTTTTGTGTGAGAACACGAAATTGGTTCGCTTACCGAAAGTAGGTTCGTTATCCGAGGCAGGTTTTCTCGAGAATAAAAGTTCGTCATACAAAATATTCATTAAGCGAGGCGTTCATAAGCGAGGCTCCACTATGAAGCCCATACCTAGTACAGAGAGTGAATAGAAGAGTTTAAGAGTGTGAATCGAAAAAGCGTCCAGGAGCAGAGCTGTGCGCCGCGTCACGAGATTTCCGGCGCCGAGCTCTGGGGCGCGCTGATCGACGCAGATTTTCCACAGCGCGCCGCCGAGTCGCCATTGGGGGATATGCTCGACGGTTAATCGTGAGACAGAGAAGTTATTGATCTCGAATCTCACGACTCGTGAGTCACTGTTTCCGATCGAATCAACCGCGCGCTGACGAAAGACAAAGAGGAATGCATCCATCAATGTTGACATTTAGTCGGTCATGTGGCGCAAACTTCCGGAGACACGTGGCGGTTTCCAATTTTCATCATCGCACTCAGTCAGTCATGACGAATGATGATAATCACGACCTGGAAAATCGATTTGATGAACTTGCAAGAGCTGTCCGACAGCGGGAATGCTGGAACAAATACGATCTCTACGGAAGCTTCGTGGATCGAGCAGCCGTCGGAATCGGAACTCCCAAGGTGCGAAAACTCGGATTGCTTGGGGGAATCGTCGGCGTTTTCGATTGTGTTGTAGTCTTTTAGTCTCTCCCTCATATCGAGCTGATTATTCATAATAGCGATCATTTATTTTGCAGGAACGACGTTTGACGTCCGTCCTGATGCGGAGATATTCCATCTATTTCCCCAAATCAAAAGAAGCCTCGCTGGAAGCGGAAATTGACTTATGCAACGATGCCGATGCAGAAGTTCGGAAGCAAGCTTTCCATGACATACCTCACTTTTGCACAAGCGAGGGGAATACCGCAAGGTGAGGCTAACTTCTAGACCGTATCCCAGGCTGGGGTAGGCTTCTTATATCGTCCCTTGGGTAGGTAATTTACGAATCGAAACCGAATCCTTCAATTTGCAGAGTCGTCGTGGCCCTGCATCATCACTTGCTTTCCGAGAGTAAGGCCGAGGTTCTCATCGTAGAGAGAGCGCTATGCGTCTTACTGCAACGTTCGCCGGAAGAAGCAATAAGAGCAGTGTTCCTAGATATGGAAAGATCAATGTTCACAGCGGCAGGAAAAGCCTTTGTTCGATTCCTATGCGTAAAGCTCCGCCCCCAGGCCCGCGGGGGACGCATCGAGTCGGCTTTGTTCACGGGTTTTGCCGACGTGTCCGATCGACTCCCTTTCGATTACTTCGTGGAAATGTTTCAACTCATATCGGCTTTGAGGGTATTTTGTCGAAGTGACTCGAATATCATTGTGTTTATATATTCTAACGCTTTACCCGGTTTCGACGCTCCATCCGAATCTGATCAGATCTATTCTCATGGAACCTCTCTGCCTCGAATGCTGAGGGCTCACTTGCAACCCTCGTAGCTCAATTATTCTTCAGCCAAGCGGCCGATCAGGTTTCGCGAACTCTCGCGAAGGAAATCAGGCGGTCTCATCGATGGGCGGTGATCGAGATCGGAGTCCAGGCTCGTCTCCGTGAATGAGTTTTGATTCCATAGGCCTTCCAAGTCCGACCCGATTTGCCACAAGGGCAGTCGAGGAATCAGCCACTCACGCTCGAGATTCATACTCGAGGCACAAATGTTTAACGGACATGAAGCCGGTCAGGATGTGGTCAATCACTGGAAAAGGGTGCTAGGATTGATATTCCGACTGAGGGTAATCTCGAGACCTGCACTCCAGAAAGCGCTCTGAACTCGACCTTATTTCATTCGCCAGATCGTGAAGACCACCGGGGGCCGGGGGATCATCGTTGGAACAATTATCCGTTTCCTGCGAAGTTCTCCAGAGTCGGTATCTTGGTGTCAGCTCAAGACCTGCTTAACGCTGCCAATGCCGCACTTCTCGTCCGTGGCTCCTTCGACTGAGCTTATTAAGCTCGTGGCGGTAGACTTTCTCCCTAATCTGGACGCGAAGGTCAGTGTAAACGCCGAGAGTACTGCTCATCTGGAGGCTCTAACTCGGGAGAGAAGTCCGCAAGACGTGGTTTCTTTCCTGCCCATTTTCCGGTTCCACTGAATTTCGAGACACAATGTGTCCCAATGGTCTCGTAGCCCGGAACACATGAGTGCCAATGGTCCTGGAGTGGGGGACACTCGCTTGCCAATGGTCCCGACCCGAGCTCACCCGAATTTCAACACACCGATCACCTACCCTCATTTTAGGAGCCTGAAAGTTTGGAGATATTGGACCTGTTCAATCAAATGGCGCGATTCGTCGAAGAACAGCATGAGCAGGACGACACGACGCGAGATGTGCTGGGAAAAGTGCTCGGATGCATCGAACGCTTCTTGTCGCAGGTTTCGAAAGAGTCAGTCACCGGAGAAGCACTCGGCCCTCCGAGTCTGCCTCTGGAGCATATACAGCTCCTTCTTCGGAGCTTTGCCACGATTGCCCAAAGAGCCAAAGCGACCGTCACGGAGGAAGACGAGAGTTTTCGGAGTGTGAGGGAGAAGCTCGCGTACCTCAATGAGATCGTCCAGAAAGAGCGGTCGATGCTTGCGATAGTGATTTGTCGCCGTAAAGGAGTGAGTTCGCGGGGAGAGGCCAGATCGAGAACCCTCTCCAAGCTCGCAGCATTGATCGAGTCCTGGTTGCGGGAACCATTAGATTTTGAGGTGAGTGAAATTCGCCTGCCCGAGAGGTTGTTTCAGTATTCTGACTCCTGCTTGCTGATTGCATAGAGGGGCGGACCGTAACACCTGGAAACATATTCCCCAGCCAAGAGAATTGGCATCCCCGGTCTTCGTGGATGAGCCGCCAGCGTCTGATCACGATTACTCGGTATGCAAATGAGCTTTGATGCATCTAACATGGTCCAGATCATTGACACCCTGTCAAACGGAGATTTCGTTCTTCGGGCGAAATAGCTGAAGAGTATTATTTCACTATTAAAGTTTCATTGCAGCAGGGTACCTCGTCTTCAACCGCGGAGAGCTCTCCGGAAAAACGCCCGACAAATACGAGGAAAAAGGTATGCTTCTCAAAATGTCTCAGTGTGGGAGTCCATTGGTGTCATCTGTTTCATGTCATTTCCTCTTCCGTCTCGCCGTGCTCGCACCTTGTAGCTCTCAGAATCGTCTGACTCTTCATCTGAGGATTCTGTGATTTTTTCGAATACTCGTCTATGTCCTTCAGAGAGCGAGGTATGACCCGTCACCAGCAAGTCAATGAACGATAATAATAATTCGAGTTCTCCCGCCTTACAAACCTCTGTAGAGATTCACTTTTGAAGGATCGAGTCGCCAGTATAATCGGTGGCAAAAATCTTCCTCATTGAAAAAGAAGCATTTTAGAGCGGTTTTGCTATGGCGAAAAACCCGAGGGAGGTGCCTAAACTCGGAAAAACACTGTTTGCGTCAATTTTCGGGATTGCGCCTCGGATATCGCTCGAGACGAGAAACCCGAATATGCATTTGGACCAAGTTCTTTTCGCAAACTTGGGTGCATTTCCTGGGCTTCTCGCCATAAGGTACCCATACTGTCATCGAGGAAAGCCGTGTAGAGCCCCACCGCTCGGACAATCTCGATATATTCTTTGTACGAAAAACCATTATTTAGCACCTTTCTGAACGGCACCTCGATCCGGAGCGTGGGCACTTGTTGGTTTGTTGTGTGAGACATCCTTCTTACTGTCGGTGTCCTGGGGATTCACGATGACTAAAAATTCCAGATTCCCATGGGGCCCCCGCAGCAGAAGTCCTCACAGTCGGAGCTAGATGCGTGTTGGGGCCTTCTGAATAATTCATCGACTTCATAACATTCAGATGTATCATCAAGCCGAAGACATGCTTTTAATGAGCTTTCATGTTGTCAATTTCAAGGTGATCCAGCTCCAGGGCGAGATCAGGATATTGGAATCCCTCCTCGAGAAGGAAAGACAAAGAGCCGACAGTCTATTGCTCGAGAATGCTGAACTCAGAAGGAACCGGTAGATCCGAGACTTGCAAAATTTTTGGTGCCACCGCTCCCTTCAAGATGGATCCTCCGATGAGATCTTATTGATAGTTCAGCTTCTTTATAAAGGGAAGCTTTTCCTTGATTTCTACCGCGCATCCATTATGCAACTCCATTATTTCGCGAGATATCATGTGGAAAATAAATTGACACTCAAAAGGAGATCAGCTCGGGCCAAGCGATGGTCATTCCTCGCGAGGATCTCTACCGCGTAACCCCTTCCGTTCTTAGCCCGGCGGCCTCGCGACTTTGGTGAAAAAACTGTTCGGCTCCCTTGAACATCCTGGTGAGCCAGAATCTCGTCGAGTTTCAGCATTCTATTACATGCCACCCCGAGTACGGCCATCTTGACATGCTCGGCGACGTAAGCATAGCGATGACGCATGTTCACCTTTTCCAACATACGAGATGACCATCATCGCGGGGTAATATTATGATCATTCGATCCACGCACTTCCGCATGGAATCCTTTGGACACCGGAACAAGCGCTATGGGTTCTATCACAATCAGGCCGACGGGTGGTCGAGTGCTTAGCGCATTTGTCACTTCTCGGATACGTGTGCTCTTCACGGAGTGAAGCCGCGTCGCCAAGTGCCGCTCGCGCGGGTGGCGTGGCTTCAATCCCTGCTGCTGGCAAAATATCCTTACGAAATTCCGGATTTCCTTAATGGAAGAGCAGGTACTCGACGGTTCCGTCGGGAAGGATCCTCCTAGTTGAATCTGCTCTTCGGGGGCAATGTGGATAACAGCACCGGGACGTTGAACCTCGGCTCTGTGGTCCAGCCCGTAAAAGTTTGGGATTCGACTCTGTTTCGAGCTACTTCAAAGTCGCTCCCAGTCACCTTGCAATGAGTGATGACCCCGTAAAACTTTCGAGCAGTCTCAGCTATAGAGTTCGTGGTCCGGAACGCTCCGGACAGACCGTCCCCGCTCTTGGAAGATTAGCCTCAAAATCGGCAAGATGACCAGGATTCCACTGATTTTGCAGAGGCAAGATGAGAGTGAAGAGGAGCGGGCCTATGTTTGTTCCTGCGGAAAGTTGCAGGAACGTCAGGGTTTCGTGGTTCTAGATCGACTCCGAGGTCGCTGTTTTGAAAGCTATCGAGGGAGAGTTCCTGTCGACGGGAAGCTCTGAGGTCTCCTGTTTCACGACGAATATCCTGCCCCGGAACGCCTTATTCGTTAATGCACGGCGCTTCAACTCGTTCCGCTTGTCAGGATCAATACTGGCTCTGCCGGCGTAGATAGGCCCGCCCATGAAAAGCCCGCCCTTCTCAGGCTGGAGAACGGCCCCGTATCCGCTCGCCGCCATCTGTGGAGCAATCGAAGAAATTCCTCCTCCGCGCGGAGTTACAACCGTGTCAAGAATGGGCACCAAGGTCTTATCTGAATGCTGCGGATGGGTGATGCGAAAATCTTCGACAGGGTGGAGCGAGGCAAACGACAGAAGGCGACGCCGACCAACAGAGCCAGAATTTTAGTGCTCCGGATAGGTCAAGCTCCGGGAAAACTCAGGAAGCTGCGGACTAGGACGCATTCGGATTCTAGACGACAAACTCATCGAAGAGGATGCTTCGGAATCGAATCGAGTCTCCCTCATCGAGCACGAGCACCGTGGTGGCTTCAATCTTCTATTCTAGCTATAGAGGTAGCTTCGGCTTCTGAAACTGAAGATCATTCTGAAGTCACGGCTGTCGCTCGATGCGTGAGTCTTCACTCCGATACGCGGGAAGAGACTGGGGGAATATCGGCAGGATATCCGCGGCTTTTTGAAATCAGCGGAGCGGCTAGAAAAGAAGAGCATTGCAGGAACTCGTCCCGTCCTCCCGAATGACATCAATGCTTGGTCAGGAAGCATGAGCTATCGATGGATGGCCCAGGAGCTCACCATTAGCTCTCTTCTGCGAGCTGCGACTCCGCAGATTGCTTTTTTGAAGCTGTTCCTCTCGCCTTTTCGCTTTTCGCCACAAACGGACTCTAGATGCAAACTGAGGACCCAAGGGCTACGAAGATTCCGGCGACCCAATTCGCTGTCGGAATACTCCTGAGTTTCCGAGCAAACTGGGCCATTCTGGAAAACATAGAATCTCCCTTAGCCGCCGCGGCTGCCTCGATGCACCTGGACAGCACTTCGCAGATGCGAAGTAGAACCTCCTCTCGTTCGAAGCTTCATGGTTGCGGTCTGTCTTCATGCATGCTGGATCATCTTAATCTCTGAAGGTGAGCTGGGACGCTGAGACCCTTCGAAGCTACCCCCCTTGACCGAAACTTCGCTGACTAAGTCGAGCAATCATATCCAAAAATGTTCTTGACAGGTTCTAATTATTGTTCCCTCGGAATACCCGGTCTCGGACTTGATCTACGTGTGCATCGAGTTATTAATAAAGTCGACTTGCCCTTAAGGGTTCTGAAGGCTCCCGCAGCTCGCGGCAATGACTGCACCGCGTTATAATGGAAGCGGAGGAGCACAATGAGCATACAGAATTCACTGATCTACTCCTCCACGAAGAAAGACGGAGAAGGGCCTCGGATGATCCAAGATCACGTCGAACCCGGTGAGACGAGCAAAACGCAACTTGCACAGCAAAGATTAGCGCTATGATGTGATCTACCCAAGATGCAAATGATTCATTTAATAGCACACCGCTTGCGAGCGGCATTTCCCGTCACAACCTATCTCTCAGTTAAGTTCAAGCTCAATATCTCTAGAATCCGAGACCCGGGAGGTGAAGCATTCAGCTTCGTCGGAAAAAAATCCTGGATACGCCACTGCTTAGACTCTCTCTCATATTGAGCTGATTATTCATAGTAGCGATCATCTACTACTACTTTGCAGGAACGACGTTTGATGTCCGTCCGGATGCGGAGATATTTCAGATATTTCCCCCGATCGCAAGAAGCCTCGCTGGAAGCGGAAATTGACTTATGCAACGATACCGATGCAAGAGTTCGGAGTGCAATACCTTACTTTTGCACAGACGAAGTCGAGAATACCGCAGGGTGAGGCTAACTTCTGGACCGTACCCCAGGCTGGGGGAGGCTTCTTCTACCGTCCCTTGGATAGATGATCTACGAATCGAAACCGAATCCTTGAATTTACAGAATCGTCGTGGCCCTGCATCATCACTTGCTTTCCGAGAGTAAGGCCGAGGTTCTCATCGTAGAAAGAGCGCTGTGGCGAATAGCCATAGGTAATTCTTGGAGAACAGAAATAAAGAGAGAGAGCCCGATGGAGCAACGCCTTACTGGAGTACGAATGTCGTGCACAAGCACATCTGAACGTCGGCGGTCAGAGGTGGCGGACGCCGACGGACATCACTAGCTATCGAACCCTCGCGCGAGCGAGACGTTTCGAAGAGTACCAGTAGCAGCAAAGGCGACTCCCGGGTATCCAGTGCCCAATATTTCTAGAGTTTTCTTTTAAAGAGATATCCCGGGGATCGGGTCGCAACAAGCGCTATGCGTCCCTCTGCAACGTTCGATGGAAACAACAATAAGCGCAGTTTTCGAACACGTGGGAAAATCAATGTTCACTGCGACAGGAAACGCCTTTCTTCGATTCCTATGCAGAAAGCTTTACCGCCAGGCCCTCGGAGAACCCATCGAGCACACTTTGTTGCGGAGTTGTGCTGCCGTGTCCCATCGACTCAATTGCGATGAGTTCGTGGAAATGATTCAACTCATATCGGCTTTCAAGGTATTTTATCGAACAGACTCGAATGTTATCGTATTTATATACATATTCTGACCCTTAACCCGGTTTCGACGCTCCATCCCAACTTGGTCGGATCTATTCTCATGGAACCTCTTTGCCCCAAATGCGGAGTGCTCACTTGCAACCCTCGTAGCTCAACTCTGCTTGCTCCTGCTGCTGTTATTTTTACCCTCCTCTCTCATCCGAGAACGTCGTCACGTCCACACGGATTTATTCAAGCATGTCTCTCGAGTAGAATTATGGGGATATGGACAGATTCAGGGATCTGCTTTTCACCATACCAACATTAGTATGTGACATTCCCCCGGGCCGATGTCGGAAACATGGGTTGCCTGCAGGTGCGCTTTTCCGGCTTGATGAAATTTCTTCGTCCGCTGAGTATGTGTCTTCCCCTCGACGCCACATTGATGTCGCGCGGACGAAATTCGATCGCGTTGCTTTCACTTCGAGTGTCGACTGGTGGAATTCGTCGTCCCCGCTCGATCTCATTCTCCGCCTCGCGTCGAACGGTGTACACAACGTTCTCCAACTTGTGCCCCTCGACGACTCACCATGGTTTTCCGTGCGTCAGTACCTCGGACCGTCGGGGAAGAGACGACGAAGCAAGAATCGCCAAACCGGCCCGCAGGCCGAACGCCCGAACCGTCGCCGCGGCCGAAAACGTAAGAGAAATGCGTGTTCGAGTAGGCGGGTATTTCACAATTCCCCTTTCGGGGTGACCGATGTCGGCTCGGCGAAAGGATGCGCCATTGTCGGAGATCAAGTTTCGTGCCGATGGAAATCGATTGAGGAATTTTCGCAGCGCTCGGAGGACCTCGTACGTTGACAAGTCCATCGTGAGTTCCAATAGAAATGGCTCGCGACACGGCACAGGTGAATAGAAGAATGTACGACTTGGCTTTTCTTCCATTTTCGCTCTTGTAGTGGAGCGGTCCGGCGAGATCCACTCCCGTGAAGAGGGACGGTGGGGTGATCTCGACTCGGAACGCCGGTAACGCTGGAGTTGGTTCTGCTGCCGGTTTCGCGTTGAACCGCTTGCACCCTGGGCAATGCCCAGGGGTTGATCTTTCGAGGCGTGACTTGCACCTCACCAATCCTTCCGGATCTAGGGAGCGGTGGAACTGGGCGAGTACGCTGGATTTTGGGAGGTTTTCGCACCTGTTCGAAATCCCTTCTGGGAAGTATCTTCCCTGAATTCGTCTCACGCGGTCTTTCTCGGCTTGTTGGCATTCGGATGTGTCTGGTCGGAGGGACCGAGTTTCACTTCTCAAGTGGGATCGACGCCGTCTCAACTTGATCGATTGTGCGAATGTCTTAAGCCGGTTGCGGAAAGCCTGTGCCCTGATCAATTTGAACCACGATGGGAAGCGGGTCGGATCGAGGATATCGTCGACGACGTTGTTTCCGTTGTCGCGCACTGTGTATAAACACTGAGTGAGTGCCGTTTTCCGTTCCTCCGCTGTCTCCTCTACGTCGATCTGCTCAGTCGCTACTTTCCAGCCAGGGTTGCTTAGCCATATCGGTCCGGAGAGCCATCGATAACGGCTTTGTGTATTCGAGATGTCCGTGCCCCTGGATAGGATGTCCGCTGGGTTTTCTTCAGATTTGATGTAGCGCCATGTTCTGTAATCCGTCAGTTTCGCCTCGAGCGACGCGTCGCAGGAAGCGTGTAATTCGAACGTCGCAGTCGATAGGCGTGGGCTGAGTGCGCGCTCGACTCTGATGTCGGCACTCTGTCGGAGCATCGCGATGAAATTTTGATACGATTCGGTGACATCCGTCGGTAACGGATCGTCCCGATTCATTTTGAGCTTCCAGAGTGACTGGAGAAGCGTTTTCGCTCTGACGGTAACCGGCGTTAGTACACCAAGCGGGTCATAAATTTGAGCGAGTCCTTTAAGGAGCTTTCGCTTCGAAGGAGTTCCGCTCGAGAGTTCTGATAGGGCTTTCCGTGTGAAGACCCCGAGACTATCAGTTGGTTGATGCCATTGGACTCCGAGGAACTTCGCATCTTCCTCTCCGACTGTGACTAATGTGTGTTCGAGCGGCGACAGCTCGACTATGCTCCGATCCACGTCTTCGTCTGCTGTGCCCCATTTGCGGAAAATGGGCTTGCTGGAACATTCTGAATAAGAGAGACACTTTCTGTTCCGCATCGGTCAAGGAGTCTGCCCCCAGGAGATGTCGTCCATGTACAGGTTCGCCGAGATTTCTTCAATGAATTCGGCGTCGCTCGGAAACTGTTTCTTGCAGTCCTTTAGGTGATATTGAGCACCTTCTATGTGAAGCCACGGCGAGCATATCAGGCCAAAATCGAGAATTCTGGCCTGGAACTCTTCGATAGACGCATTGGGTTTCCCGCTGATGCCCAATGGCCATTTGAACCTCAAGAAAGTTCGATCGCTCGGGGCGATCTCGAATTGGAGGAATGCCTTTTCGATGTCGGCCGTGATGGCGAATCGGCATTCTCGGAAGGCGCACAGGACCCTTGGGATCAAGGGTAGCAGATTCTCCCCCTGACGGAGACAGTCATTGAGGGCTGCCTCGTGGCTCCTCCGAGCACCTGCATCCTTGACAACTCTGGTTTTGATTATTCTGAGACCTTCCTGGTCAATCTTGAAGACTGCCCGTAATGGCAGATTGTGTCGCCGTTGGTTCGGTTTCGGTGGAGGGGTTTCCTCTGCGAAACCTCTCTGGAGGTATTCGGATATCTTATTGTCGACGGCTTGGAGCTTCTCGAGCGATTTCCTCAATTTCTTCAGAGATGAGTGGACACGTGAGCACGTCAGGTTTCCATTGTCGCCCAGCGCGTCCAGGTTGTCCTTGAAGGGTGGGCTCAGTCTGAGGCGGCCGTCGGGGCGACGCTCGACTGTCCTCTCGAGGAAGCTGTCCAGTTCGTCGCTCAGTGGGTTGGTTTCCTTCGGCTTGGCTGTGTCGACTCCGAGAATCTTGCCTTCCCACAGGAACTTGAGATCGTCGTCGATCGAGGCGTCTCTCGATGTTTTCGACTGGCGTGGTTCGAGCCTCGGATCGAACCTGGTCGGAGGCGGACTATCCTCGGTGAGCGTTACCATCGTGGGCAGGCTGGCACGCACCTCACATAGCGAGGCTGACGTAAGAGTCGGTGAGTTGGCTTCTCTCGATGAACCGCTGAAGATCCATCCCCAAATGGAGGATGTCGCTAACTACCCTCTGAATGTTTTCATGCGGTTAGTGTAGATTTCCGCCAGATCCGCCGACCCAATGATCATTGAGATCGAACGCGGAGATCCAGGGTTTTGATCTCGTCGGCTACCGGAAGTAGCCCAAATGTTTTCCGAATATCTGGGAACGTTGAGTCCGTGATCGATTGAGCCTCGATGCACTCCAGAGTCACCGAACTCTGTGGATCATGCTGACTTGTGATCGTGACCTTGTGTAGCCACGTGTCCAGCGTTGTCACCACGTTGCCTACCGTTTTCATCAGGGTCTTGACCTCCGCCGTGGGAGTCGGAAAAAGTGCTCGGATGTATCGAACGCTTCTTGTCGCAGGTCCCGAAAGAGTAGGACACCGAAGAAGCACACGGCCCTCCGAGTCTACCTCTGGAGCAGAGGTTCCCAAACGGGGTTCCGCGGAACCCTTGGGTTCCGTGGCGGATTGCGCGGAACCCCAAAGTCTACCTGCGGAACCCCTACGGAACCCCTGCGGAACCCCTAGGGGTGCCGTGGAAGAAAAAGTTTGGGAACCACTGCTCTGGAGCATTTACAGCTCCTTCTGCAGAGCTTTGCCGCGATTGTCCAAAGAGCCAAAGCGACCGTCGCGGAGGAAGACGGGAGTTCCCGGAGTGTGAGCGAGAAGCTCGCGTACCTCAATGAGATCGTCCAGAAAGAGCGGTCGATGCTTGCGAAAGTAATTTGTCGCCGTAAAGGAGTGAGTTCGGGGAAAAAGGCAAGGTCGAGAACCCTCTCCAAGCTCGCAGCATTGATCGAGTCCTGGTTGCGGGAACCATTAGGTTTTGAGGTGAGTGAAATTCGCCTGCCCTTGAGGTTGTTTCAGTATTCTGCTGCTTGCTGATTGCATAGAGGGGCGGACCGTAACACCTGGAAACATATTCCCCAGCCAAGAGAATTGGCATCCCCGGTCGTCGGGGATGAGCCGCCAGCGTCTGACCACGATTACTCGGTATGCAAATGAGCTTTGATGCATCTAACATGGTCGAGATCATTGACACCCTGTCAAACCGAGATTTCGTTCTTCGGGCGAAATAGCTGAAGAGTATTATTTCACTATCGAAGTTTAATTGCAGCGGGGTACCTCGTCTTAAACCGCGGGGAGCTCCCCGAAAAAACGCCCGAGGAATACGAGGAAAAAGGTATGCTTCTCGGAATGTCTCAGTGTGGGAGTCAATTGGTGTCATCTATTTCGTGTCATTTCCTCGTCCGTCTCCGCGTGCTCGCACCTTGTAGCTCTCAGAATCGTCTGACTATTCATCTGAGGATTCTGTGATTTTTTCCGATACTCGTCTATGTCCTTCAGAGAGCGAGGTATGACCCGTCACCAGCAAGTCAATGAACGATGAAAATAATTCGAGTCCTCCCGCCTTACGAACCTCTGTAGAGCTTCACTTTTGAAGGATCGAGTCGCCATTATAATCGGTGCCAAAAATCTTCCTCATTGAAAAAGAAACATTTTAGAGCGGAAATTGCTATGGCGAAAAACCCGAGGGAGGTACCCAAACTCGGAAAAACACTGTTTGCGTCAATTTTCGGGGTTTTCGCCTCGGATATCCCTCGAGACGAGGAACCCGAATATGCATCCAGACCTAGTTCTTTTCTCAAACTTTGGTGCATTTCCTGGGCTTCTCGCCATAAGGTACCTATACTGTCATCGAGGTATACCGCATAGGGCCCCACCGCTCGGACAATATCGACATATCCTTTCTACGAAAAACCATTAGCACCTTTTTGAACGGCACCTCGATCCGGAGCGAGGGCACTTGTTGGTTTGTTGTGTGAGACATCCTCCTCACTGCCGGTGTCCTGGGGATTCACGATGACTAATAAATTCCAGATTCCTTTGGGGCCCCCGCGGTAGAAGTTCTCGCAGTCGGAGCTAGAGGTGTGTTGGTGCTTTTTCCTGAATAATTCATCGACTTCATAACCTTCAGATGTATCTTCAAGCCAAACACTTCCTTTTGATGAGCTTCAATTTCAAGGTGTCCCAGCTCCAGAGCGAGATCAGAATATTAGACTCACTCCTCGAGGAGGAAAGAAAAAGAGCCGACAGTCTATTATTCGAGAATACTGAACTCAGAAGGAACCAGTAGATCTGAGACTCGCAAAATTTTCAGTGCCACCGCTCCCTTCAAGGTGGATCCCCCGATGAGATCCCATTGTTAGTTCAGCTTGTTAATAAAGGAAAGCTGTTCCACATTTTCACCGCGCATCCGTTGCAACTCCGTGATTTCGTGGGATATCATGTGGGAAATGAGGGGACACTCAGAGCGAAGCCGTGCTCGGAGATCAGCTCGGGCCAAGCGATGGTCATTCCTCGCGAGAATCTCTCTCGCGTAGCCCCTTCCGTTTTTAGCCCGGCGGCCTCGCGACTTTGGTACAAAAACTGTTCGGCTCCCTTGAACATCCTGGTGAGCCAGAATCTCGTCGAGTTTCAGCATTCTATTACATGCCACCCCAAGTACGGCCATCCTGACATGCTCGGGTGACGCAAGCATAGCGATGACGCATGTTCACCTTTTCCAACATACGAGATGACCATCATCGCGGGGTCATATTATGATCATTCGATCCACGCATTTTCGCATGGAATCATTTGGACACCGGAACGAGCGCTACGGGTTCTAACACAATCAGTCAGGCCGACGGGTGGTCGAGTGGTTAGCGCAGTTGTCACTTCTCGGATACGTGTACCCTTTACGGAGTGAAGCCGCGTCGTCAAGTGCCGCTCGCGCGGGAGGTGGCGTGGCTTCGATCCCTGCTGCTGGCAAAATATCCTGCTTGCGAAAGTGATATGTCGCCGCAAAGAAGTAAATTCGGGGGGAGGGAGAGCCAGATCGAGAACCCTCTCTAAGCTCGCAGCATTGATCGAGCCCTGGTTGCGGGAACCATTAGGTTTTGAGGTGGGTGAAATTCGCCTGCCCGTGAGGTGGTTTCAGTATTCTGAATCCTGCTTGCTGATTGCATAGGGGGGCGGACCGTAACACCTGGAAGCATATTCCCCAGCCAAGAGAATCGGAATCCCCACTCGTCGTGGATGAGCCGGCAGCGTCTGATCAGTGATCACGATTACCCGGTATGGAAATGAGTCTCTCGTCTTCAAGGGTGTGAGACATCCTCCTCACTGCCGGTGTCCTGGGGATTCACGATGACTAATGAATTCCAGATTCCCATGGGGTCCCCGCAGCAGAAGTTCTCGCAGTCGGAGCTAGAGGTGTGTTGGTGCCCTTTTCTGAATAATTCATCGACTTCATAACATTCCGATGTATCACAGGCCAAAGACTTGCTTTCAATGAGTTTTCATGTTGTCAATTTCAAGGTGTTCTAGCTCCAGGGCGAGATCAGGGGATTAGAATCACTCCTCACGCAGAGACTGCTGGACACAGTGGGCCAGTTAATCGAAGAAACGAAGGGATGTAGGCGAGCGCGAGAATACCTTTGCCAACGACTATCACTATTCGTACAGGGAGGTAATCCGGCTTCCGTCATGGGAACCATGGCCGCTTACAAGAGACCCGCCATGGAACTGCCGTAAGGCCCGACCAGAGCGGGGACAGATATTCTCATTAAGTCTGATTGATGTGTTACTTGTATTAATAAATAAGACTCCTCAAGAAGGAAAGACAAAGAGCCTACAGTCTATTGGTCGAGATTACTGAACTCAGAAGGAACCAGTAGATCGCAAAATTTCAAACTCAACGCTCCCTTCAAGATGGATCCTCCGATGAGATCCTATCGTTAGTTCAGCTTGATTATAGAGGAAAGCTGTTCCACATTTTTACCGCGCATTTCAAGTATCATGTGGAAGATCAGAGGACACTCAAGGCGAAGCCGTGCTCAGAGATCAGTTCGGGCCAAGCGATGGTCATTCCTCGCGAGAATCTCTCCCGCGTTACCCCTTCCGTTCTTAGCCCGGCGGCCTCGCGACTTTGGCGCAAAAACTGTTCGGCTCCCTTGAGCATCCTGGTGAGCCAGAATCTCGTCGAGCTCCAGCATTTTATTACATGCTACCCCGAGTACGGCCATCTTGACATGCTCGGCGACGCAAGCATAGCGATGACGCATGTTCACCTTTTCCAACATACGAGATCATCGCGGGGTCATATGCTGATCATTCGGTCCACGAATTCTCGCATGGAATCCTTTGGACTCCGGAACAAACGCTATGGGTTCTAACCCAATCAGCCGACGGGTGGTCGAGTGGTCGAGTGCTTAGCGCATTTGTCACTTCTCGGATACGGGTACTCTTTACGGAGCGAACTCGCGTCGGCAAGTGCCGCTCGCGCGGGAGGGGGCGTGGCTTCGATCCCTGCTGCGGGCAAAATATCCTTACGTTTCTTCTCGGATTTCCTTAGTGGAAGAGCAGGTACTCGACGGTTCCGTCGGAAAGGATCCTCCAAATATGCTCAAATCACGATTTATCATAGCCGGTAGGTCGAATCGTGTAATCTGCAAGTCGGTGAAAAAGCGGATTTGGACACCATTTTGAAAACTCTCTATCTCGAGACAGGTTGCTCGTAGGGTGTCGACCTCGGTCGCGTTAGGAAGCTGAGAGCGAGCTCTAGCTCCTGGACCCCCCGCACAAGTGATTGCAGCCGCAGCCTCGCTAAAAACTTATTCACTAGTGTTATGCTCCTGTCCTCGATTGGGATTTGGGAACATCAGAAATATGTACCGACAAGCGCTCCCTCAGGTTGGCGGCATGGCTAATTTGCCCGGTATCATGCGTGTTCCGCACGACGTTGACGTCCCCATGCAAGGAAGTCGTTTGGAGGTCTCGCGAAAAATCATACGGACTTTCCGAAGGGCGCCGACGTCCAGGCGAAACGAGTCTCTCAGTCGACTTATCATCAGCTCGTCTGCAAGGGCCCACGATAGAGCTTCTACTTCCCTATAATTCAATCAGGAAAGATTTGATGTCCGCTCCCGGTACCCGTGGTCGTATGGAAGCTGGTTCCTGATGCTTCCATCTCAATGCAAACATTCCTTTCCGGGGGTGAATCTCGGATAAAGGACTCTACTACGATTGTGCGAAAACGGCCAATGTGAATAATGCTCGACGAATGTGTTTCCTGATTCTTTATTCGTATTTGGGGTCTTGGGGCTCCTCAATCTAAAGGCCGGTGAATCCCAGGTTTCCTTGAACCCCTGGCCCTGAGCTCAGGCCTGTGTGGAGCCCCGTACAGACATCAAAGCTATGAGAGACTGCTGCTGACTGCTGCCCCGGGCTATAGACGACGTCGTGAGGAAATCCTCGATCCAGAATGTTCAGCTCATTCGAGGTTCGGCATAGGTTTTGCGGATCGCCAGTCACCTTCGGTGGCGTAGTGATCGTCACACCAGTGAGGCAGAGCCGACAGGTCGACCTTGGCGACGTCTTCGATCCGGGAGATATTCCGATCATCGAGAATGAGGTGCGTTTCTCCATAGAGAGCGTATCTTGAACGAGAACATATGCTATCAGCTCCCAGACGATCGTAAGCCGGCAAATTGACGGCGCTCACTTATTCCGCTGAAATCCAATTCAAACTGACAGGGCAGATATTTACCGAGCCATTTCTCCGAAGCTCTTATTGTAGGTTTTGATGTTGACTTCGTCGAATTTCTTCGGAGCGGACGTGTCGTTCACGAGGTAATGCCGGTGTCGAGACAGAAGATGGATGGCGTGGAAGTCACGCCAATGGGATGAACACACGCCGAATATTTGAACTACTAACATGTGAACGCCGAAGTCCCACGGCACGCTGAGGATTCGTAAAGGGATTCTCACTCTCGGAGGTTGTAGGAAGATGTCACGGTCGGATCTCGAAATCGGATCCTAATGAATGGAAAAGCCCAAATCGGACTCGAGAGTTCGATCGCTTCGATATCAGATGGAACGCTGCGAGATTACCCACATATGAACGAGAGCGGGGTTTTTCAAGAGTATGGACGTAGTAGGGAGCTCGCCGGCATTGTAGTACCATTTATCCGCTCGATAGAAACGGTAAGAATCGAGCCAGAGCTTCAAGAATCGAGCTCGAGGGTGTGCAACTATCACCTGGGTTCCTAGATATTGTTTCGGCGGAACCCCTGGAAGGCAAAAAAAGAGTCTCGAATTTCGCCAAAAAATTCTCCTCGGCTGATTCGACAGAGAGATGCGCACTGCGCACCTATCGAGATTTCGTAGCGTCGATAATCATTCAGATTTTTGACGACAAAGACGTCGAGGTCCAGGAAGATCCCTCCCACCGACGAGAGAATCTGTAGCCGTAGTACGTCAGCCGCGTGATATACGGAGCTCAGTTTCCGACCAAATACGTGAGTGGGCAGTTCCTCGGGAACGAGTTGAAGTCCGGGTATTTTCGAAATCTCCGACCAATAATGACCCGTCTGCAATAGGGGTTGAACAAACGAATGAATAATTTCGCCTCTTTGATGTGAAGGTTTCAAAATGAGCGTTTGAGCAATGAGCGATGCTCTCAACCTTTAGGTGTTCGCAGCGATCGCAGTGCACTTGTATAGAATCCGGTCTCTGATTCAACCACGCGGCTCGCACGCATATCAAGTCGGTGAACGAGAAAGAATTGTTCCCTGATTTGATGAAATGCACAGTGTTCGGAACGATCGGAAATGGAGCCCCGACTCTATTATCGAATGCGCTGAAGTCCGGGTCCGTATCCAGGAATGTCAGTCTCTGGAACGAGTCGGGATTGGAGCCGTGGTGAGAGATCCCAGTGATCAAGCATAATCATAATCATAACTGACCCCGTGAGGGCCGAGTCGATTGCCCGAGTCACTTGCGGAGCGTACTACTCTGGCTTTTGAAACGACCTTGCGGTTAAGCTCTAACCTGGAGGAGTTGAAGTCTCACGCTCAACAGAACTAGAGTGAACGTGAGAGTCGTAACGAGGGCTACGGACTTCGGAGATACTCTATGAATGCGCAACATATCCCTTGAAGCTACATTTTCAGGCGTGTTCAGCCGCACAGAACAAATCAGCTGGAGGGGCTTCTGCCTCTGTTTTCACCGAATTTCTCGCGGGGGAGAGGGAACTTCAGAGCAGCTCGTGAGCGTCACCGTGCGACGCCGTGCTCGCCCATACTGATCGAATCGTATGCACAAGATGCTCCTGACGGAAATTTCTACGAAGGTCTATTTACAAGGTTTGAAAATCGGAAAAGCCCCTCCTCTGCTCATGTCTGGCATTCTGCGAATCGAAGTTTTTGATTTCTACGAATCTTACGCGAAGCTTCTAAATTCTCATCCCTGAAAGTCTCTTCCACGGCTCCGCTTGAAATCCTCCCACGATGGGGTAGATTCAACGCGAGCCGTGTCGCCGTGGCTTGAGAACTCGGATGGAGTCTACCTTGGCGGAGATTCCGCAACGACAAAATGAAGGAAAGACCTCTCGCGCTTCGAGCATGGTTTCTAGCATTCTGCTCAGTGCCGCGATCGGCATGCATTGTGGCAACATCGAACGCTCTCGATGATAATACGAGAATAGGAAATCCAAAGATCCAATGGCAGTCCTATCCGACAGGTCAGACCGGACGGAGAGTTTCCACGGTGGCGATAGAGAATAGTCTTGATAGTCACAGAGATTTTTTATTCAAGCTCGCGAGCGGAATATTACATTCTCTGGAACTGTTTCTTGCTCCCAGGAGCCTTAGTGACCTTGAGCACGTTGAACCTCACGGTCTTCGACAGAGGTCGGCATTCACCCACTGTCACGGTATCCCCGAGGGTCACGTCCCGGAAGCACGGCGAGAGGTGCACCGACATGTTGCGGTGACGACGCTCGAACCTGCAAATTTCAAATCCCAGCGTGAACTTGCGTTTCATCGACAACGTAAGATTTGGGTATCGTTTCGAGATCTGGGAATCGTTTTTAGAATTTCGAGAGCCGAACTGCGACGAGGACTCACCTGTTGTATTTCTTGACGAAATGAAGGTAGTCTCGGCGGATGACAATTGTCCTCTGCATCTTCATTTTGATGACAATACCCTTCAGAATCCGTCCACGGATGTTCACGTTTCCGGTGAAAGGACATTTCTTATCGATGTAGTGTCCCTTGATGGCCTCCGGCGGGGTCTTGAATCCCAGACCAACATTTTTGTGGAACCTGTAAGCGAACCGATGTTTATTGGCCGCGCATGATTGCAATGGGCTCTTCCTCCAAGCGCTTCCTTCCTTCTCCAAGCCATTCGGTCGTAGTTCCAGTCTGGTCTCTTGATGGCAACCACGCACCGAGAATACACTCTGAGTAAGTGTTCGAAAGTTGTTCGGACATGATAGTTGAACGTACCTGACGTGTCTGGTTGGGATGATTTTCCTCGTTGAGGTGGCTTTTCGGTTTAGGAAAACTGTCTCCTGCTTTTGGAAAGCTCTCTCATTCTGGAAATCCGCCATTTCGGGTCACGATGCTGGAAATAGAGTAAGCGATATCCTTAGCACACGCGATGGGGTGCCGGTAATCGAACACCGGAGAAATACACAGACGTCTGCGGTGCGAAACGCGCCCGATTCTTCTGCACTCAGCTCCACGCGGCGATTCCAGCGCTGAGCGCAAATATGATGAGAACTTTACTGCGGTAAATCTAGGAAAGCACGCGGGAGATTCGGAGCGACAAGTATTGGCTCTCTGAAGCTCGAGGGCTACCCGTCTAGCTCCTAATCGGTTGCCTGTGATCGGAAACACCGCGGTTCCCCGCGTCGATTTCGCACCGCGCGCGGGGCACGCTCTCTATGTAATCCATACGTGCTCAACTGCTGGACAAAATGCACCGAAGTGACACGAAAACTACGGTTTTAAGAATTCCACGTGTGAAACATACCACCACCGAGTTGTGTGCACACGAGAAAAGACCGGAAATCGATCAGACGCCGGACACCTGGCATAGTTTCGAAACCGTCGGTTTGCCATCGCGAGACCGCAGAGGCGATCTTGGGCCGCGTCATGAATATCGACGCCGCTCCTGCCGAGTTCTCGTTCTCCACCTCGTAGGTCAGCCGGCTAGTCATTGAACATTCCAGATTCGACTCTCCGAAGCGGGGGAAAACGTCCGATATTGTTTCTGACGCGACCGCGGTCGTAGGCACAATTTCGAAGCCATCCAAGATGGCGCTGGGGCGCCCGTTTTCGAATAGCTCGCGATAATCTTCCTGTCAGACTATCGAATCGCTCCTCGGAGAGAAACGCGTGACGGTCTCCTCGAACTTCACGGGATACCTGTGCGGTGAAGGGAGGTGTTTTAGTCGTTTTTCGTATGGAGACCCCTGATCGTTATCGAGCTCTACTCCGCTGTCTCGTTAAAAGTCACTGACACCAAGCGCCAAGCGCATTCCACTGATCAGATATCTCGAAAAACCGGGACATGGATCGAAGGACTCGAACTGCACATTCTAGAGGGATAGAATATTCGCCTGACCACTAACGTCGAGCGTTAAGCTCAGGGAAGGGGAGCTCCTCGGAACGCGGAGCAGCTAGCTCTATGTTTCACCATCTACCATGTCCTTCGACCGCGCGTCGGTCAATTCTCGAGGCGTTTGAGGCCCGGGGAGCGTTGAATGATCGTCTCTTGTCTTGCTCACAAGCACAATCCCATCCTGTTCATTTTCCTGTCAGAAGATCGAGCGCAGCGTCGTGTATGAGCTGGAAACCTCTGTTGGTATCGGTCAGGAGAGAGTCCCATAGGCCCCCGTGTCCCTCGGCCCATTGATGTCCCTCGGACATGATTCGCGCATTCATACGCCACACAATCGGAGCCGGCGATCGGAGTCATTCCCGATGTGCACGGCCTCTAGGTTTGCAGAATCGGTGTCGGAACTTGTCGGAACGATGCTCCTGAACTATTCGAGGGACGAGTAAAAGTCGTGAGATATTCTCCTGGCTCGATTTCTATCGAAGTTGGTGCGGGAGTCAGACGAATAAAACCCTTGACCATCAAGGGCAACCAACATGAGTACTCGAACGCGAAGGGATAGGCAAAGCCGGCTCGGCTCCCATGAGTCCCCCTTGTGACTGTGTTGCGGTCGCTCAATACAAATATTAGAATCTTGTCGGAAAGCAGCGACTTTAGAAAACAAACGAGAAAACATCATAGCATAGAGCTTCTCGAGCTCGTTTGATTCTTCTCGCACGAACGGGAACATCCAATGTTTCATTCCTCCCGTCAGTCAGTCAGTCAGTCAGTCAGTCAGTCGATATGTATCCGGAGAGACGGGCTCGAGCTGATTCCGAGGCACCGCGTCCGCGGATCTCGCCCCCTGGTAAGAGGTTCACCATGAAAGTCGACTAGGTCTGAGTTCTCCCAGACCATGGGGGACGACTTTCACGACACGTTTTGACCCTTTAGAAGCGCCCCATAGCCCGTGTTCGATGCGTCATGAAGGCAGGAAAATCCGTCGTTCCTTTGGCATCCTCAAATCGAGCGAGATTTCCCACGGAGGCTCCTATCTTCTAGATTCTTCAAAGCATGAGCGACCGGACACAGCAGACTATCTTAAGGAGGGATTTTCGGACTGTCACTCGTTTTCTCCCGGATGCCGAAATCCAGACGACTGAGGCACCTGGCGCTAGGGTGAGCCCGGAACTAAATGGGTCCCCTTCTTTTTTGAAGCAGAGATCATCATCATCATCAGTAGCCGGGAGAAATATAGATCAACTACCATCCGATACGAGTTTCTCGCATTAACTAGCGCTCTACGCTCTTAGTCGGGGACGGATGCGTGAAGATAAAGACTTGGGCTCCTCGTCCTTATGAAATTCAGGCACAACGGTTCTCCGTCTGCTTCCCCTCTTAAGAATTTCGTTTCGGAAAACATCGCGGACCATTAGCACGCGCTCTGGGCCCCCTGGGAGCAGACGACGGAGGAGTCGTCAGAGGGACATCGCCGTAGAGTATCATCGCGCTCCGAGTCAATTCTAGCATCCGCGTTGCCGGTCGAGCTGGGATAGGGAGCCGATCGTTTTCCTTGGAACTTCGTTCCGCGTCGGTCAATTCTCGAGGCGTCAGAGGCCCGGGAAGCGTTTCGGGAAGCTGCGTTCGGAGACTGCGAAGTGGCACGGTGCGCTGAAAGTTCGTGAAGGTTTCTACAACTACCTGCGGCGAACCTTCGAGTCTTCCTGATCTCGGGTGCAAGCTTCGTCCGATCGGCAAAATGAGTTCGGCGGTTATCGCTGCGGGGGTTGTCATGGCTGCCCTGGGTTTCGGTGGCCGAGCGCTCTTGAGAGCCCGACCGGCTATCGGTGAGTAGGATCGCACTTCTCAAAGTTCGCCCGTGTGCGGAGATACTGTATAAGCATTCTCGCAACATGATCTCATCCTAATGAAGGACTTGTGCACTCCACAGAAAAAACAATGCAGCAGAAGATGAAAGAGGTGGCTTTCGATGATGTGAAACGCAAGTTCACGTTCGATCTGGATAAGCTCGCGGTGGACTCCAAGTACTACAAAGGAGGTTTCGAAGACAAAATGTCCCGTAGAGAAGCGTCGCTGGTTCTCGGTGTTGGTCAGTCTGCGAATAAAGCTAAGATAAAGGTTTGTTCCATGTGGAGAACTTTCTGAATAGAGAAACAATCGATATCGAGCCGGAATTCATCGATTATATTGTTCTTCCGCGGAAATCGAACAAGACGGCTCGCGACTCACAAGCCCCTTTCACGAAAATTCCAGGAAGCTCACAAGCGCATAATGTTGCTGAACCATCCAGACCGAGGAGGAAGCCCGTACTTGGCAGCGAAGATCAACGAGGCCAAAGATTTGCTAGATAAATAAATATGTAACATCAAATCGTAGTTGTATATTCAATAAATTAAGTTTTCCGGTTCGTCGGTGTTTCGAGCAGCCAAGGTAGGAGCACGGTGCTTGCGATTTCCGTAGTCGATGCTGACTCGCATCACCGGACTGACGTTGTGTTCATCGGTAGATTGCTGGTAATCACTCCTCTTCAGGCGAATTTCTGAACATTGATCTGAGCCCGATCGCAGAACCCAATGACGGAAGTTCCAAGAGTGCTCCTGATCAATTGGTGACGATTGCGACACCTCTCTACGACTCCATGTAGATGCCTCTGAGGGTGCCGCGCGGAAAGCCGATGATGATTCTGAGCCCGGCGCAGCCTGAGGCGGACTCCGGAGCTCCACGCATAGGGAGAATCCTAGCTTTTCCTCGGAGCTCCGGCATAGAGTCACGTAGCCGTCAATCTGAGCTGCAAGACCTAGGCTGGGAACCCTCGTAGACGGTCGCGTTGACATGTTGATTCGATGATCATGAGAAGCTGCATCGCCAGCTCTGCTCCGCTCGTGATGCCCGATGAGGCTCTCAGATGAGTGAGGAGGATGGGAAAGCGGTGGAGCCTTCAAAACAACACAACATGAGTACCCGTCCGGCCTTCACTATTCAGTCGGAAGGTGAAAAAGCGTGAGTGCTATCTACAGAAAGCTTTCCCGACGTGTCGGAGGAGATCAGCTCTCATCTGAATCGCGACCTGACGATGACTCGTCGCCTCGCTGTGATAATCGTTGAGGTGATCGTTTGACCATTACCAAACCTCCGGTGAATCCTCTGGTACTCCTGCTCTGGATTATGTGCACTTTCTTAATATGAGGTTTATGTGAGTAAATCCGAATCGAGTTACAGTATTGTGTTCGGAACTCGAATTCGGTGGCGGCTTTCACGAAAATGTGTTGAGCCTCCCCGACGTTCCGAGAATCGCAATGTTTTTTGGGCTAATTTTTCGACCGTTTGGCTCCACACTCGAGGAGACCATAGTGACTTCCGGACCCAATCAAGCTCGACTAGAAGCTCTGCGAGCAGAGGATTATTCTCCGGATCTCCATATTCCCCCGAAACTCATTGCCTGCTCGTCGTACTCTCCCCGCACTCCGGAGTGGTGAAGGAAGTGCGCGAGGTGATTCCGATATTTGTCGATTGTCCCTGGGACGAGCCGGCTCGCCGATGAACGCTATAAATGTCAATGGTCGAGTCGGGCGGTGTACGAAGTCGATACCGGGGAGCCGATGAATCGAAAATTTGACGATAAGTCTTTCTATCTGCGGATGGATTGCCTAGGTTGAGGGTTGGAATCTCTCTTCGAGACGTGAATATTGGACCTCTGTATATTCGTTGATACCCTCCGATCGATACGGTCCCTGTGGGAGCTCCTCGTAAGACCCAAGAGACTCACCACGCACGCATGTGATTGATACCTCGACGAATGGCGAGCTATCATAGCTCATTATCTGCTGTTTCACATCGGCGCCGTCTCATTTGGCTCCATAGGCACGATACCTCACTTTAAAGCCCGACATTGCTTGAGCAGAAGAGCGTGATGATTGTCCGAATCTACTTCGATCGCAATCCTTCTGAGAAGTCCAGCCACGGATGCTCCGTCGATCATCGATAGCTCTCCGACAGCATACACGATGGTCTATCACATTGGGATTCGGGACCGAGCCAAAGGAGCACATGTCGCTGTTTCAGGAGGGGCGGCCGGCTTGAAGACGCGCGATGTGCCCGAGACTCTCTCCCTACTCATCATACAGCCGGCCATTCCGTCAAAACTTCTTACGAATCTAGTGTAGATGATTGATTGATTGCTTCGGCGGTAGGAAGCAATCAATCATCTTCGCTTCCTCTTCGACAAGCACAAGAGGAAGCGAACTTCATGATGAGGGAAGGAATTATCATTCTCTAGCGCTGTTGCGGTCAACCGTGGAAACGACCCCTCTGCAAGCTCTGACTGTCGGTCCCTTCATCGACGAGCAAACGTCATCGGGTCGAATCATAATAATCGACCAAGATACTCGCGAATGGGCTACATCAATCCGCTCGTAGGATCAAAGGTCGAGCTTTCAACGACTGCTCTTATAGAGAGTTTCGTTGCTTTTTGTTTTAATCGGCTTTTTGACTGCTCGGAACGAGAATAGTGGGCTGATCGATTTCTGTCAAACAAAGAGCTCTCTGTAATGCAGCGGCTCGTTGCAAAATGGGCATCGATCCAAAGATTTTGATTTGTTCCACATTCGGAATGGCGCAAAGGAGTATCCCTTTCGGATCACGGGCCGGGTCCTGAGTCTGACCAGGAACCCCGGACTATGCCTCAATGTTTCGGGGATCTGACGAAAGATCAGCTTACTCACTGATCTCTCGGAATTCGTTTGGGCTTGTCTTTCGAGATGGTCGTGTGTTCTCATATCTGTCTCTCATGACATGACCGATATTCAAATTCGGTGCCACAATGCACAGCTGCTGGGTACGCTCGAGTGCGAAAGGCGAAAATCAACTCTATCGCCTTGTCGCCGGTTTGCCCGCTCTATTCACCTTCGGATCGGTGTCCTGGTGGGCCGTGGCGATTGCGAAACGAACGTGCCTACTTCGCTGCAGCCGCTCCGTCCGAACGGATGATCGAGCCAAATGCTGATGGGATTTCTCCCACCGACAGAGATCCTGGTGTCGCTTTGTAGAGAATATCATAAAAAAACGCGTGTTCTGAATCTGTCTCCGCATGACTTTCTTCAGATTTACTCCCTAACGCGATCGACTCGGTCAGCGACGAATCTCAATTCTCCACGACAGCGAATTGTGCGAGGGACATCATTGCTCAGTAAAGCACTTCGCGGGGCGAGACGTATCAGGGAGGCGTTTTTCGGAGAGGTGGCCATTTCTCCCGTGTTGGACACCGAACGATTCTGTCCGGCTTCTATGGAAAGTCTGCAGGACTGGATTCGATGTCTGCGTTTCGATTTCGGTTCTGGCGCTCAGTCCGGTCCATAACGGGGTTTTCCCAAGCGATTTCTGGAGCGGTATCCCTTGTGAGCTTGGAAGACGACACGCTAATCTCGAAATGGTCTAGGCTTGGATGTTTGGCTTAGAACGGTGGCACTGCGGTCCTGTCGCGCACTTCCCGACCAAGCGGTCTGTGTCTTTTGTAATGGAAAGTGCCCGAGGCATTTTTTAGAACAATAGAAAGCGACGAACCTCATTTCTTACCGTGCCGTTCTCATGTTTTCCGCCTTTACTGCAATCCACGTTGTACCGGAATCCTATCGACGTGAAGCCGGAAACAGCGGAGACTCGGATTCAGAGCAACTGTCTTCCCGAGAATTCACCGAGTCCTCTTTTCGCTCACGTCGTCCTGCCATTTGTCGGGGACTTCTCAATTTTCATTTTCGTTGGTGGAAGCCGGGGGAAAAGTTCCCACCATCGAGCGAAACTCGAGCACGAATGGAGGGAGGGAGAATGATTTTCAAGTTCACTCTTTGTCGATCGCGTTTCATTGTGAGAACTCAAGTAAACTACGAGCCGAAAAACGGTTCCGCTTTTTCTTGTGCCGATCGTCATCGGCAAGGATCCACGCTGGAAATCACGGACGGCTGATTGTCGCTTCCAGCTTCGTCCAGACCGGGCGCGTCAAACAGGTACCAACCGTCAAAGAAGGTTTCTCTTGGCATCTTTCCCATGGATCAATATGCCGAGCACTCGGACTCACGGTCGTAAAGGTTTTGACAGCTAGCCCCATTCCCCTCGAAATCGTTGTTGTGTCAAAGGTTCTCGTGGACGATGATCGAATCGGCTCCTCGGAGGACGGAGGGAAGTACCCGAGGACCTGCATCCGGGGCCGTGAAGATTTCGGAGTTTCGACATTCGAGGTTTAGAATTTCGCAAACACCGTCCGCGCTTAGCAACTCCATTATCATTACGGAAACAAACACAATCCCAACCCTCTCTGACACTGCTCAGTCCTTGCGAAAGTTGAGCATTGAACAAATTTGAACGACAAGTATTTCATACGGAACACTGTCAAGCCGGAATCAGTTTCGGTTGCCCGTGAGTGACTGCCGAAGAGTTTGGCGTGGAATTGTCCTAGCAGAAAAAGTTCGTTCGGCGAAAATTCAATCGGGTCTCACATTCGTGCGAGCCAAGACATTTGCCGTGAGCCCGGTGTAAGTCACGACGCGGTGCGCCGGCGAACAGGACAAATAGACCGTAATCATAAAAGAGGAAATAAGAACAGAGCGAGATGGGATAGACATGCGGGATGATGGGCCAGGTCAGCTTCTCAGTCCACTGCATCGCCCCCCCGAAATTCCGGAGAATTGACGGCCCAGACCTGGACATTTGCTCCGGTCACATACTAAACGCAGCTCCGAGGAAATTGTCAGACCCAACACCTATTCGTACGAAAACTCGATGGCATGCTTCAGCTCAAAAATAGAACAGCGACAAGAAGCGATCGCTCACATGTCATGGTTGCTTGGTTTTGGATCCGAGCGAGTGAATCGTCTTCGCGCGCAGTCGATCCACTGATTCCAAGAGGCGGATTTCGAACGGACAATACCGTTATTTGCGATGGACTGCGCCCCCACCTCCGACGCCCACTCGACACTTTTCTTCAGTGCATTCTGAAATAGCTCGCGAACGCTTCATAGTGGAGGGTATATCTGCCGATATGGAGCAGATGCACGAGAATGAGCCTCGCCTTTCGCTTGTCAGAGCTGCACCTTCTTCGCTGTGGCACTCACCGGGTGTGTGCCTGTCAGAATTCGATCAAAACTCGCGAAGTCGTGGTCCCAGGTACATATAACCATTTCGATTTCTTCCATCGGAACGCAGTTCTTCATGAACGAAATCCCTTCATCGAAGCCGCAAACTATAATAGTCGATCGATAAACAAGCCATTGAATTCGTAAAAACGCTTTTCGAATCGTCGAGCGTCGTTTGCTACGTGAAGAGTCGAGTCCCGTCATGGGGATGGGAATATGTTTTGCAAAAAAGCGTGCTTGGTCGCTCGTGCTTTTCGCTTCCTTGAGTTCCAGAAAATCTGACGAAGGCTCCGGATCGATTGATCCGGGGAGTTTTTCGGTGCTCTCGCCTTCTTTCTGCCCGGGAACAGCATTTTCCAATCGAAATATGGTTCGCTGCCGGAGAGCCGACTCGAAATACCTGTTCACATTCCGAGACGTGATTAACGTCGGCAGATGTTCTTCCAAATATCCGATTCCGCGTTCGGGAATGGATGTCGTGCGATATGCGGACGCAGAATACAAACTCGATCGGATCTCTGATCAATTAGACTTCGGAATCGGGTAAAGGAGAATTTAGAGGCAATTTTCATTCTCTTTGATGTTGACCCAACATCTTTTTGAACCCAGCCGAAGTTTGCAGCACCCATCAATCTAGATTTAATGAATCCGTTCGCCATCAATAGCGACGCTAAATAGCGATATACCCGAATCCGCAACTTCCGCAAACCCGATGAGAAGAGCGATCGTCTCAGCAGTCGTGAATATCTAATTTGCACAAGTCAAACGGTCCGTCCGAGGCATGCTTCGCTTTCCCATGTCAGAACTGCGATCACCAGCCAATCACCAGGAAATAAACAGAGCCCTGGTTCGAGTTCAGCTTGATAGACAACTTGTTGGTAAATGAGTTGATCGCCAGTTGGAGGCTGACCGCCATGGTTCAAACTCCGACGGGGCGAAAGAGTCGGGGCAGGGTACGACACCGGCTCGGAAACAAAACACTGTAGCTCTTCCGAATGCGAGCCGCAGGAGGTCTTGATGTGAGACAGCCCTGTAGTTTGTCAGATTCGGGTCAGAATGAAGTGATGAGAAGCGGTCCGCAGTGATCCCTCCAGAAAGCACCGGACCGGCGATTCGATACGACCGGAGAGGGAACGATTTTCTACCGTTCCCTGTCAAGTGATGGGATATCGAGCTCTCGATCGACTCTGAGGAGGTACTGTATGTCGAGCGAGCAACGCCGGCACAGAATCTGCATGCGCGTTCTCAAAATAATAAAGTCATAGAATGTTCATCCAGAAGAACTCCGTCGCCGCTTCTGACGATATCTGATCGGAATTCACAGTCTCCGTGAGCTCGATTCAGGTCCAGAGCGGATACACTGACGGCTCCGAACGAGTGACGACAGTAATCCGCGACGGAAGGCTATGATCTTGAAGTATCGATAGCATATTCCTATATCTATAGAGCTCTGAATCGATCTGGGTCTCGAGGCGTAATAATATTGAGCTCGACCAAGTAAGCAAGTCCTGATGTCGACGACGACCAAATATCGCAATCCTGAATATCAACGTCATTCTTTGCCTCTCGACGTCATTCACCTAGTTTCTTACTATCTACTACGGAGTTGGATAGTAGGAATTCTCTCTGCGAATCGAGAGGGGCTGCTTTGTAAGGAGCTCAAGCCTTCCGGAAAACGTTTCAGTTAGGGGAGCGGGCATGCCGCAACGTCGGATTTTTCTTGCTTGTCGCTGCGAAGGTTCCCCGCTCGAAGGCTCGGATGGGGAATGAACTCCTGTGTCGCATACTTAGCGGCTCTATGCCACGCAGCGGCGGCTTCCGAGTGTGGTGCCCAGAAAACAGATTTTTCCCAGACTGCTCGGTCGAGTACAATATATCACTACAATATAACTATTCCTGTGTTTTCTGCCGATTTTCAGGGGATGTCGCGCCTTAGACACGATTTCGTGGTTGCGTGATGCACCGAAGAGATGATTCTTCCGACTTGGATACGACCGAGTATTTTCATTCTTCTCCTGGCGATATTCGCCAACCTTCACTGTCTCCATGTGAGCCTCAGAATCAAGCCGCGGTCGAAAATGAATTGGGAAAAGTCACAAGCAAATCATCACATTACAAATATGATTTGGAGAACCCAATCCTTCTTCGCAGGGCTCCTTCGTTTTCGATGACATCGAAGCTGTAGTCAACAACCCGGACGTCTCGGGCTTGGGGTCATGGATCGATATCCTGAAAGATGATTTCTGGGGGACGCCCCTGAAAAAAGAATCATCTCATCTATCCTTCCGACCGATCACCACCGCCATTTTCCGGTGAGCGTCGGGGACTCGAACTGAGCTACGGAGGCCGAGAAATTTTAATTGAAGCGTCATCGGAAGTGTGTCATCGGAAGAACTCACCGATTCTGCCTTACAGCATCTTGTGGAAATCCGTGGGGAACCAGGCGGCCTACTTCCGCCTTCTCAACCTCGTCGTACACAGCGCGGTGTCGGCTTATTTGTACAAGTCACTGTCGATTGCCCTAGACGTTCCATACAATCCGCTGCGATCATGCGGGACCCAGGTAGCACTCATGGCTGCATCGTTCTTCGCCATTCATCCAATCCATGTTGAAAGTGTGAGTTGTCAGCCGTCTAAAGAGGGTCTGAAATCATGACCTTCGACTTCATTCCAAGAGGAGGCATCAGGTCCCCCCGCTTGACATCGGATGGTGTCTGAACTTGCCTCGCCACACGCCATCTTAAAATCCTAGGGAAGAACTTTAATCGCGATCGTTACGTTCCACCCTTAAGTTGTGCAGCGCTGTGGGGCTAGCAGACGTTCTGTCCGGTCTGTTCTTCTTGTGCGGCTTCAACGCTTACTTGGAATGGACGAGAAATTATCAAACAAAAAGCGCACCGGCGAAGCTCTTCGCGTATTCAGCGCTCGCAATGTTCTCAAAGGAACCAGGCGTCACGATTCTGGTGAGTGCTTACGAAATGACTTCGCAGCAATTCTCGGATATGGCAAAGTCAGCCGGACTAGAAGACATTGAAGATAGTCAACTGTCGCTCTCTCCGCAGGGTGTGTGTGGAGCCTACGAACTCTTGATTATCTGTGATATAATTCCACATCATGCGTTCACCAAGCATAAGAGTTTCGTCAACTCCGTTAAAGTAAGGTCCATTGACACATAGATTAGAGACCATATGAGGCTGGATGATTATGATGGTTCATCTGAAAATGTACACGTTTTCATTGAGAGAGAAATTCAGCTTACACTAGCATGTTCTCCTTTGCAGAGATCATCGGTGAAGAGATTCGCTTTCTGTGCGTTGTCTGGCATCGTTTTGTCAATCATGAGATGTCTCTGCGTCAGACTCCGAGTGCCGATATTCACACCCGTAAGTACAACTTGTCTCTCGGCTGCAAGATCCAGAGAGATTCATTTACTATACAGATGACCCAAATACATAATGATATGGATCTTAGGAGCTCGAGGGAATGAGGCGATTGGAGGAAAGTGAGATAGGGAATTATTCTTTCAGATGGACAACCCTGCGTCTTTTTTGCCGTCACCGATCCTACGAGGGATCAACTATCAATACATATATTCCATCAATCTATTACTGTTATTCTACCCCCATTGGCTTTGTTTCGATTGGTCCATGGGGTGCATTCCTGTTATAAAGTCAGCCCTTGACCCTCGACTCCTTGCATTGGTCGGCTTCTGGTTCAGCATGGCCACAATTGTCAGAGCCTGTTCCCGAGAAACTCCTCTCAGAAGGTAAGCGGATGAGGACGGGATATCTTCCCCGATCGAGAATCAGGGGAAGGATTTTTACGCACGACGTGTATCCCTGACGAAACGACGATAGTCCGATGGAATATTTTCGGTAGGGAACGCGCTTGAGAATTCGCTCCCGATTTCTTCCAGATGGTTCTGCCTCGCCGCCTCTCTCATCGTCATTCCCTTCCTGCCTTCTTCGAACTTGCTCGTGAGCGTAGGGTTCGTGATTGCGGAACGCAATCTCTATCTGACATCAATGGGCTTCTGTTTGTTGATGGCCATTGTCATTGTGGAAGCCCACCGGAGGGCAGGCAAACACAGACAGGTAAGTGTTTATACCTCGTATGACATCAGTGGATTCCCGATTCCTTGCGGGCCAGAGAGATTCTAAGATCGTGAATTCTAACCCCCAAGGTTTTCGAATTCGCCGTCGTTGTGTTGCTATTCTTGCTCGCTGGGCGATCTCTGAGAAGATCTCGCGACTGGATCGCCGATACCACACTCTTTCATTCGGGACTCGCAGTGTGTCCGCTCAATGCCAAAGTAAGTGATGCTCCCTTGAGCCGACGATCCTGAAGATTTGAACGAGTCGTCACTCGTCACCCTCGTGGATTCGGGATGGTACGTATTCAATACTTGCAGGTTCACTACAACATTGCGAAGGTCTCCTCGGACGAGCGCGCAGCCATAGCAAGTTATCGACGGGCTCTGAGCTTGAACCCTCAATACGATCAAGCGATGAACAATCTGGCGAATCTCTTCAAGGAGAAGGGTTCTCTTCAGGAGGCCAAACTCCTCCTCGAGAAAGCGGTCGGAATCCGGCCGAACTTCGCGGCTGCCTGGATGAACTTGGGGATTGTAGAAGCTTCCCTTCATAATTTCAGCAGGGCCGAAGAGTGCTACAAGAATGCCATAAATCACAGGAATAGATATCCCCACTGCTATTTCAATCTAGGGAATATGGTGAGGCATTATTTCTGTAGCTCTCTCCCTTGTTATTTTCTATCTCATCGATATTCGCCAATGGACGAGGCTTCACAGCACATGCTTCTGCTACAACAACCTCGAAAACTTCGCTTCCAGTATATCGAGATGAAAGCTTTCGAGCAGGCCTTGGCTGCCTATCAACAGGCAGTATCCCTGGCTCCGGATCATCATCTGAGCTGGAATAATATGGTGATCTTGCTTGATTCCCTGGGACGACTCGACGAGGCGGAGAAAGTCGCCCGCGACGGTCTCGAACACTTGCCGGATGCTGCCTCGTTGCACTTCCATCTGGGGAACACTCTTGGTAAGATGGAGAGGTACGAAGAGTCGGAAACACATTTTCTCACAGCTCTCCGCATCAATCCGGGAGAAGCCACCTACCATTCGAATTTAGGTGAGCTCGCATTATGCTTCGATGAGTCTTTTTGAAAGTACCTAGTCTAAAAGAAGCGAGGGGAATGGTTTTTGGTACCACTATGACGTGAGCGGCGCAATATGCATTATGATGAAGAAAATAAGCAGCCCCCGAATTTTCCAGGAGTCTTGTACCATCGTTGGGGGCGAGTTCACCAAGCTCGCACAAGGTATCTCAAAGCTTTGGAGCTCGACCCGAAGCTAGCATCTATCGAAGATAATTTGCGGAAGCTCGACAAAGGACGTCGTAGAAGGAGATGATGCGCCCGGGCCAGATCGGAAGACTGCGATTGATGGTGCAACACAACTCCTCCTGTCTTCGGGATTATCATCATTGTCCTCTCACCATGGAAAATCTTGTAGATTTGTATAAATGGAATTGATTGTGATTATCGCCGAGATCCGTGAGTTCTGTGGAGTCCAGAGGTCGGGACTCTGAATAAATGGGATGAGGGACTTCCGAGTCAGACCTCCCTCGTTCATGCGAGCCAGAGAATCTTTCCCATGATGGAACCCAGCGTTCAACAGCTATCGAGAGTGGTGGCCCAGGAAATCACGTTCCCACGGAGAGAGGGATGGTTTACGCTACGCTTTACCTCGAGCAAGGGGAAGGCATCCGATGTTCTCCCCTCTGTAGTGCTTGAATTCGAAGTTGTCCTCAATTCACAGAGTAACAGATGTGAGACCGTGAGATGCGTGACGATGCGGAGGAGCCCTTGTCCCAAGCACGCCCCTTCTCCGGGTAGCACTGTCGGCGGCCCTGGCCATTCGCGAGCTCAAACAACATTGAGAGCCGGAAGCCTTGGATTTGGAATAGGGTACGAATTAAATTGGAATTAGTCCAAGGCAGTGAAGATCGTGGCATCCGAGTTGCGCGGGCTTCCGGAGAATGACGGATGTCAGAAGTTCGCTCGATTTGGGGAACTCTTTGTCGATTTATCTTGATGTCTGCCATGGCACATCATGAAGTGTTCCACTAGATCGTTGGCGTTGCTGACGTGAATCACACGTGGTCGCGGGCGCTTTTTATAGTTCCGAAACAATGTATAAGGTCTACTACCTTGTACAGGCACCCACGTAGGAACGAGGGCGATTCCGCGTCAATTACCTGAGTGTGTTCTCTCAGGCTCAAGCTCGAGAAGCCCGCCCCTATGCACCCTATTTGGGTAGAGTCCGGCCGTACTTCTAGCAGCCCTAGCTGGGGTCCGCTGTTCACGACTCGAGCTCATGGAAAGCTCATACCATCGTGATTTCGTTCGGCGGTTCTGTAGGGGAAAGAAAGGGACTGCGTGTCTACCGAGGAACCGTTGGCCTTCACGTTTGTAGTTTGAATCGCTGGCCTTAACGGACGCTGTGAGCCTCTGTATAGGGGTTCGGAATCAGCATCGATGAAAAGTCCGAAAACGCTCCTCTCGTGATTTTTCGACTATTTTCCTTATCACAAGCTCTTTCTATCTCGATTGGAATCGGTCGATCAGATCCTGTATTTGAGAGCACAAAACGTTCTGGATGCTCGCGGGCACAATCAAAACGCTGGGAAGCATACTTCCGTCGAACGTCCCAAGCGCCAGCCCCGGACTATGACGGTCGAAGGCACGCGCTGGACTCACATCCCGCCAGACTCCCGGTTCGGGTGTATTGTCGTCTCTTCGGAAAACCGTTAGCGGTTTCCCGAGCGGGACGAATGATGACGTTGATGATGCTTTTGTTGGATGAGATGGAAGCGAATCGAAGTCATTCGAAGTTTCGCACGTCGTTTATCAGCTTCCCCGGGTGATTCCATCCCATCCCAATAATTCATTTGGGGACAGGACGTCGTTCGTCCGTTCATCTTCATCACCGATATGAGCGCACATTGAGTTCATTTCGCGGGAGCAATATTCCTAACGGCGCGTCGACAAAATCAAATGCAGCGTCTCCGTTGCGTTCGCAGCAACCTAACTTTCGATGCTCACTCATTGTCGTGGATTCATTCGAGATTTTCTCTCCATGCTCGATAAAGAGCTTTCCGGAAATATTCTCCCAGCACTCGTGTTCCGGAATGTCGAAGGCACGAAGGTGTGGACTCCTTCCGCTGTGGACTCACCTCCGTAGTGAGACAGTGCTCGAACTGCAGAGATGGAGTCTGTTCCGCGCGGTTGGTCGGCACGCAGGTCGCTCGCTCGGTCGCCAGAATGCTGAGTCAGAGGCATGGTACTTTGCCAGGAGACGGCCGACCAAAGATACAGTTACCGTAGTTGCTGAGTCTTCCCCATACACGTTGTTCAACACGCCTCGCCTCCGAGGTCTCTTGACAGCGAAAACGCTGCCGCGCCACTCTAGAATTTGAATACTCGGCATCCCGAAAGCTATGAAGCTTTTAAGGACGACCGGAGCGGATTCTCTGAGCGGAGGTGGAAGCGGAAACGCGGACTTCCCGAAGCGAAACCGCCGTCACGACAAACCTGGAGCAAGGCAAGACCACAGACGGGCTCACGTTCCCTGATCGGTGGATTCCTCGATATCGTACTCCCCGTCTTGGTTTTCCCTCCTTGATGGTCTCCATTGTTCAGCAGCGCTCCATGAGCTACAGCCACCCCGTATATCGTCGAGGAATTCGACATTTCCAGTCTCCGTAGCCCGTATTCATTGACTCCGGAGGAAATTGCGCATCCCTGAGGAGGCCCGGGCGCGGCACGTCCAGCTGCATCCTCGGAGTATTTCCCGATTTGCTTTCAATCGAATTGCCTTCGATATTCCCCGATCTAATCTATTTTCTCATCCCTCGACTTTTTTCTTGAGAAGTTCATTCCGATTCCAGGCTTTCGTATCATCCGGCTTCTCCGTCCTCCGATTCTGTGGCCGAGAAACGATGGACGAGAGGCGACCGCAACGCCAAGTGTGTGCGATCCGATTAAGAACGCCGACCGTAAAGCTGAATTGCGCTCGATTTTTCGCTCGAGCCATTTGTGACATCCTGGTCACGTCGAATGTTCGCACGTCGCACAATAATACTGCTATCCTTCCGTGTAATCGAGCGGCTATCGGAAACGACGATCGGCAAAGATTTCGCTCGACCTAAATCAATTTGAATTTGATTCACATGGTCCCTCTAACACAAACGAAGTCGATCGTTCAGGATAATGCAGCGTGTCATTTATCTCGCATGCGACGAGGAGGTCCTGCGGAAGTGGAGCAGCGAGGAATCACCACTACGATCGGAGCGTTCGAAAGACCCGGAGGTATGGGCACCGTCCCGATTGTTCGAAAGCCAAGCTCTGGAGCAGAGGAAGCCTCGCGAAGCTCGAAAAAGATCTGAGAGAACGAACAGGAAACCGTGGTGGAAATTCCGGGCTGACATCCTTCCGCCGAAAAAGGGTTCGATCAGGAGATTATGGGGGAGATTTACCCCTGTGTCCGTAGGAGCAAGACTGGCCATTGTACCCTTCCAGTCTGCGACGAATCCGATGGCGAGTCATTTCTGATTGCGGGAATTCTCGCTTGTGACCGAATTCGACTTTGACGCATGGTCCCCCTCATCTGTCTATGCGCGAGGCACAGAAGATGAAAAAATGTGTCCGATGACTTAGTCAACGAAGCGGAACGCCGCGCTTGCCATCCGAGACCTCGTGCACGACCCAGCTTGTCAAGAACATTCTTCATTCTCATCCTCTCTCTACCCGACTATTCCAGTCGATCTCAGGAAGACGGACAAAGGTCAAGAAGTTTGAGCTTTGACGGCGGAATCGCCCTGCTGGGAGGTCTATGTTCTCGATACAGAGGTTTGACCTTGTTCTGTTGATCCATCTTCATGCGAGGCTCGCTTGAGTAGGTGTAATGATATAGGGAGGAGGCCCGGAGAAGGAAAGGTCTCCGCCAACAATCGAGCCACCTGCTTGTAGGTTGCGCCGAGTTTTGCTTCTCGCTTGAGTGTTTCCCAGAGGCTCCATAAATCATCTGATCTCCTTCCCGGTCCATCAGGGATTTTTCCGTCATGTTATCTAATCCCTATCGTGCTCATAACAGCTTGTAGCTTGACTGACTGACTGACTAGCCGGCCATGCGTCCGCTCTGCTGCCAGTCCTTGCAGTCGGTAGACATTCGCTTCTTCTCGCTCGGTTGGAACGACTGACAGGGCCGCCAACGGCCTGGATAGGGTCCTGGAGACACGTTTCCACAGCCTCGCGTCTTTCCAATCGCTAACCGGATCTACGGAATTGCAGGACCGAGGCTACGAAACCAGCTCCGGAGCTCACTCGCTGCGAGGCAAAGGCTCCCCACCCCGCCAGCTCCGACGATAAAGGAAGCTCGCTGATGAGCTGGAGTCACTGCACCTCTAGCCAGACTACCTGGGTAGGGCGTAGTACTAAGCTATTGAAAGGCCGCTCCCGAGCTAATTTACTTTGCCTTGAAAGAATGGCGCCGGCCTCGGTTCCCGCTGCTGCCGCGGCTGCTCCGTGTTTTGCCCGATTCGTTTCAGCGCTCCGGGTGTTTCTTGCAAGGGGACGCCGGGCTCCGAGCTCTTGCTAAACACTGAATGAAGCGACCCCGTCCATCGGTGAGTCTGTTCGGTCAGCTCCCGCACGCTCGCTCGGGCAGATGGACTGCCGCGGTATCCTGTGCTAATTTTATCTTTTCTTCGGAATCCTCACGGATTGCGGTCCGTCGGCTGTCTGCAGAGTCGACGCAGGCTCTTTCGAAATGCTAAAACTCCAGGAAACGCAAAACGAATTCACAGTACATACTCAGGAGATCGCTTCACATAACAGGATGAGGGTGCGGAAAGACTTGCGGGAGGAGGAAAAACCGCCGGTGTGAAAATACGTCTCCTCAGATGAACGGGATAAGATGGAATACTTGAGTTCTGAACTCGGACCGGGGAGCCTTGCCTAGCTCAGAAGCTTGGGCTGCGAAGGCCAGTCCCCGCCAGCACTAATGTGGTCTTCTTGTCATTGTGAGGTTCGGAGGTAAGATCGATTGGTTCTTGCTTCGCTGTATATTGAGAGCCGAGTAGGTTCGGCATTGTAGCGAAGAACACTCAGCTGGAGAGCGGGTATATAGAACATATAGAAGTCGGCTCGAATAGAGGGTGCATAAACTATCAGTCCGCAATTAAATGCCAACTCTGGATTCCCAGACGTCGCATCGAGCGAGCGTAGAGTTTGGCACTCTTTTCTCGCTTGATCCTCGGGCCCCGCTCCACTCCGCTCCGTTCAGGTGCGCAGCAGCGGAGTATGTAAGAGACAATTTTATCATACGGATCGGTTTCACACTTTCACTGC